AACAAGTTAGTTAACAACGAAAAATACTTCTGTTTCAATACAGTAAGTAACAAGTTGGTTAACAACAACGCAGAATAGTCCTATTTCAATACAGTAACAAGTTGGTTGACAACACGAAAAATACTTCTGTTTCAATACAGTAACAAGTTAGTTAACAACGAAAAATACTTCTGTTTCAATACAGTAATAAGTTAGTTGACAACAACGAAAAATAGTCCTGTTTCAATACAGTAACAAGTTGGTTAACAACAACGAAAAATAGTCCTGTTTCAATACAGTAACAAGTTGGTTGATAACAACGCAAAATAGTCCTGTTTCAATACAGTAATAAGTTGGTTGACAACAACGAAAAATAGTCCTGTTTCAATACAGTAACAAGCTGGTTGACAACAACGCAAAAATACTTCTGTTTCAATACAGTAACAAGTTAGTTGACAACAACGAAAAATACTTCTATTTCAATACAGTAACAAGTTGGTTAACAACAACGCAAAATAGTCCTGTTTCAAACTGTATTAAAAGTTACAGTATTCAAACTATGTACTAGTACAAAATGGTCACGTGGTCGGTTCCTAGGACCAAGCCCGTATTGAGAGTTGACATAATAAGATATTTATAAATTTCATCTGATTTATATATATATATATATTCATTTCTTTATGGGCCCTTCTTAGACCATGAGCCCCTGGCGGTCGTCCAAACCTTAATCCGTCACTGGCCTTATAGTGGCTATTGGAATATAAACTTCGTCTGCGTTTATGTACTATTGCAAAAATGACGGCCATTTTTTCATTGTATTCCTCCATAGACAATGCTAGCGCACTCTCTGAGATATATAAGACGTTTATGTGTCCTCCCCTCACTATGTGTATGTTGTATTTTAGAAAATTTAATAGTTTTTTTTTGGTGTAAGGACGTGGCGACATCTATGAATGTAGTTAACATTAACTTACGTCAAAGATAATAAATGCTCAATAACATAAATAATTGTAAGTGAAACGGGTTGTGGACCCACATTAACATGACCTTTGTTCCAAACTATGTTCTTACAAAGTTTGGGTGAGGGTGGCCCAGCGATCTAGGAGTAGTTAGATAACAGACAAACAGACAGATACGTAGATTTGTGTGTGTGTGTGTGTGTTTTATGTATTTATATTTATGTTATGTTCTTTGACAATTCTTGTTTTAAAGTTAACATTTTCCGCAACCATACACGTTCTAGAGTAAATATGTTTTTAACTGCGCATGTTCTTTATGTTAATATGTTATTTTGGAGTTGAAGAGCTCATTAACAGCACATGTTTCAGATACACATATATAAACACACACACACATATATAAAAGCACATATACAGGAGTTATTGTTTATCCTTAATAGTTCATCCTCTGTTCAGTACCTAAAACAAGCAAACAAAGAGAATTTATTGAATCGGTAAGTAGACTTGTCTGTATAATTTAAGTCTGACGATCCGTGAGAAAGGTCAACTTAACGTTAGTCGCATACAGATAAAGGTACCACGATGGCCGGGCAGCTCCACGCGTCAGTTGCTATGGTAGGAGTTCAGGTGTCGGAAGATGAAAATCTCTCGTTTGCCACAGTGTTAAGGTA